CCTGATCCACAGCCCTTTTTATTTTTTGTTTTAAGACAGGATCTCACTAAGTGGCTTATGGCCTTGCAAAATTGCTGAGGCTGGCCTCCAACTTGCAATCCTCCTGCCTCAGCCTCCTGAGTTGCTGGGATTACATTGTGCTCCACTATGCTCAGCCCCTGCAACCTTTTGGAAGCAGATGAGCTTTAAATAAGTAATAAGATCACAGACTGGGGCTTCGTGTGTGGCCCAGTGGTGGAGCACTTGCTTAGCATGTGTGAGGCACGGAGTTTGATCCTCAGCACCACATATAAATAAATAAATAAATAAATAAATAAATGTAGTAAAAAATCGAAAAAGGTCACAGGCTATGTTAAATGCTAGGAAGGAAATAGAGTGATGTAATGGTTATTAGAATGAAGGCATAAGAGATGATTCATCAGGGAGGTGGCACAGAAGGCCTCTTGGAAATAACCTTTGACCTAAAACCTAAGGGGAATATGAAGGCTTTGAGGTGGGGAAGCACTTGGCATATTTAAAAGGGAGGACGAGGGAGAGAGCAAGAAAGAGAAAAGGAAACAGCTGGGCAGAGTATGGGGCAAAGTGATAGTAAAATTTGGAGAAGTAGTAGATAGGGGCCTGATATAATTCTTTGTGGACCACAGGAAGGAGGGATGCTAGCCAAATTTTTACAAGTCCTAGAAGTTTAGACATATGAAAAGAAGGTATGAAGAATCTCAGATTTTAGAATGGCAAGACAACTAACTGCAAGAGAATGGGTGGGAGCTTTTAGTGATCCTGAGAATGTCACATTCCTGAGAATAATAATGTTTATAGTCTACTTAAGTTTAGGGACATTGCTTACCTCTAATGTAGGCAATGATAGGTAACTAGTAGTTTGTCATCCCTGTGATATAGATCACTTCTCAGTATTATCTAATAAAGATACTTCATAGAAAAAAATAACATTTAGTCACCTGTCCCCATATTACAACAATCTTGTGAGCTAGATTTTATCATTCTTGTATTCTAGATGAGAAAATCAAAGATCAGAGAAATTAAGAAACCTGTTAAAGTCACCAAGCTGCAAAGCGGCTGGAATTTGAAAGTAAATATTGATTCTAAAGTCTATGGTCTTTTCATTGCATTTTCTGATTGATGATACAATTTGAAAGATTAAGAAAAGGTATAGAGATCATTCTGTTGGACTTGATGTGGAAAAGGGGGATAATCAAGGGTGACAAATGGAATAAACCAGTCCTATATGTCTCTTACAACTCTTGGGAGATCACTTTGTGATCCTCCAAACAGAAGGAGCAGCAGGGCGTGGTTGCTCATGCCTGTAATCCCAGCAACTAGCGAGGCTGAGGCAGGAGGGTCAGAAGTTCAAGGCCAGCCTCAACAACTTAGGGAGATCCTCAGCAACTTAATGGTTGGGGATGTGGCTCAGTGATAAAGCACCTCTGGTTTCAATCCCTGGTAACAAACAAACACACAAACAGAAGGAACAGTAGGAGCTCATATATATAGCATCCTTCAATCATAGTCTTTAAATGATGTAAGAGGAGATAGTGTGGAACCAGTGATCCTGAGGAACATATTCAGGAAAAACTAAGAGGTAATAATTAGTTATGATGATAATGGTTGGAGGAGAGAGAGGAATCAATTTAGGAACTGTGATTGTTAATGTGATATGTCAACTTGACTGGGACAAGAGATGTCCATATACTTGACTGAGATCAGGGATGCCCATACACATGGTAAAATGTTATGGGTGTGTCTGTGAGGGAGTTTCCAGAAAATATTAATATTTGAATGGGTAGATGGAGTAAAGAAGATAGCTCTCACAAGTGTGAGTGGGCATCATCTAATCCATTGAAAGGCGGAATAGAAGAAAAAGAGGAAGAGTACATTCAGTCTGCTTGAGCTGGTATATTCACTTTACACTCAGATTGGGACTTACACGATTATCCCTCTGATTCTCAGACCTTCAGACTCAGTCATTGGCTTTCTTGGTTTTCTAGTTTGCAGATTATGGGACTTCTTACCCTCCATAATCATCCCCGGTCATTTTAAATTTTTTATTTTGAGATAAGGTTTCTCTAAATGGCTTAGGGTCTTGTTAAATTACTGAGGCTGTTTTTGAGCTTGCAATCCCCCTGCTGGGATTACAGGCATGTGCCACACAACCATTTTAAATTTCCTTTCCTTTCCTACCTATCTATCTATCTCGTCTATCATTGACCTAATCTGTCTTCTATTGGTTTTGTTTCTCTGGAGAACCCTAACTGACATAGGAACCTAGGAAGTTGAGCAGATAATGGTACCGTAATAAATACTGCTAAGGTCTGAATGTCTGAGTCACCTTCCATATTTTGAAGACCTAATCACCACTGTGATGGTGTGAGGAGGTGGGACCTTTGGGAAATGCTAGGATCTTTTGGACAGACCCCTCATGAATGGGATTAATGCCCTTATAGGAGAATCCCAGAGAGCTGCTCTCCCTTTCCATATCATGAGGACACAAGCAGAAAGTACAACTATGAATCTGATCTTGAATTTCCCAACCTCCAACTGCACTTCTAGCCTCTAATTACTGGGTCTCCTTATTTTGGCAAATGGCTCTATTGAGTAGGTTCCGTCAAAAAGATCGTGGATGCCAGGTGTGGTGTTGCACACCTGTAATCCCAGTGACTCAGGAGGTTGAGGCAGGAGGATCACAAGTTTGAGACTAGCCTCAGCAATGTAGTGAGGCCCTAAGCAATTTATCAAGATCCTGTCTGAAAATAAAAAACAAAAAGTGTTGGAGATATGGTTAAGCACACCCTGGGTTCAATCCCTGGGACAAAAAAAAGATCTTGGATAATCTGCCTTTTCAGTATCCACTTTGCCCCTAAGAGTCTTGCCATGTCAAACACAGGGGAGGCTGCCCTACCCCATTGCTGCCCTTTCTCTTCATTTTATTGTAGAGTGTGCCAGCCAGACTCCTTAATTCAGAATTCTTTAGGTCAGAATGAGTAACCATCTTCACAAATATATATGAAGGCCCCGAACAGGAGAGATGTGTCTAGCTGACTTCTTTGGGGAGGAAACACCTAGGGGTGTTCTAACACTGAGCTACATCTACAACTTTTTTTTTTTTTGGTACTGGGGAGTAGACCCAGGAGCACTTAACCAGCCATATCCCTCCTCCCCACCTTTTTTGGGTGGTAGTACTGGTGATTGAACTGAGGGCCTATGCATGCTAGGCAAGCACTCTACCAAATGAGTTATATCCATAACTCTCCAGCCCATTTTTTGTATTTTATTTAGACAGGGTCTCTCACCTAGTTGTTTAGGGCCTTGCTAAGTTGCTGAAGCTGGCTTTGAACTCATTTTCCTCCTGCCTCAGCCTCCTGAGCCATTGTCCAACCCTTTTTATTTTTTGAGGCAAGATCTTGCTAAATTGCCCAGGCTGGCCTTGAACTTGCTATCCTCCTGCCTCAGCCTCCTGAGTAGCCAAGATTACAGGCATGTGCTACCATGCCAATTTATAACTTGTTCCTTTTAGAATGACAACTTTTGGGGCTGGGGATGTGGCTTAAGCGGTAGCGCGCTCGCCTGGCATGCGTGTGGCCCGGGTTCAATCCTCAGCACCACATACAAACAAAGATGTTGTGTCCGCCAATAACTAAAAGAAATAAATATTAAAAAAATTAAAAAAAAAAAAAGAATGACAACTTTTGGCTTGTTCTCAGTTTTGTAGCCAATTAACATTCTGGGAAACTAGGGATGTAACTCAGTGGTACAGTGCTTGTCTAGCATCCTAATTTCTGGGTTGAATTCTCAGCACCACACAAAACAACAACAACAACAAAATAGGGAGGAATACCTTTCTTGAACAAAGACTCAGTTTTACGCGGACACTCTAGAATCTCAGAGTTGGGAGAAATTTAGAAACAATTTAATCGAACTACTAAACAAAGTCAGGAAGCCTGATTGCAACTTTATGAGATGTTATCTGATTTTCTTTTGAACACACCAGGAATTAGGAACATATTCCCTGTCAGTTCTCAGTGATGTCAATTACTATCCAAGCTTTATCAAATCTCTTAAATCTCCTGTTTTCTCATCTACTAAAGAAGAGTAGATAATATCTTCTTCAAGAGCATTGTTGGGAGGATAAAAGGCAGTTTATATATTGCATAGTTCAGTCACAGAGGAGTGCAATGTTGATTCCATTTACAGGTCCTTTTATGGGTCAGGAAATTCCACTTCTGGATTGTCATCACCCAGAGAAAGCCCCTTTTTGAACTGCTTTTTTACAGTTTTGGCAGCTTCTTTAAGTTTTACTCTCAGTTGTCAACAGAATGTGTGTGTCCCCCCCCCCCCCCCCGCTCCATTTGACATCCTCACAGATACCCAATTTTAGCTGAAGGAACTGGAGAAACACAATGAATTTTTTAATTGAGGAGCTGGGGTGAGATTTATGTGTGAATCATAATAACTATCTATTGAGACAAGGTTCATTTTATAGCGAGCAGCTCTGTCCCGAGATTGAATGGGCTGCTTGGGAAAGACAGTGTTCTGTGACACTGGTGGGTTTAAACACAGGCTGGCTCGGATTCTGTAGGATTCAAGTCCGGACTGAGCGCGCGCCGGCAAGTGATAAGACACTTGAAATGCATTTGAATGGTGCTATTCCTAGCAAGCAATGTTAGAAGGTCATTTGTCGTCCTGAACGCATGGTTAAACGTGGAAGCTACAAAGCAAGCCAGCTTTCTTTGAATACTTAGCTAGGTGTTGAAAAACTTCTCTCGGAGGAATCTCGAGTGGAGTGGACTTTGGGGGTGGAGTGGACTAACCTTGAGCATTGCCCCTTTCCTCGAGGGAGGGCCACCAGGCGGTGCTGCGGAGCTGGCAACCCACCCCCGAAGCGCCTCCGCTCTCCCGGTCACCAGTCTCCCACCGCCGGGCAGAAAAACTACAATTCCCGGGGTGCCCTGGGAAGGGAGGCGGGAAATCCCGGGGGAGGGACGCGAGGGCGGGCCTTCCGGGTGTGTGTTTCCGGCGTCGGCGGCCGCGGCCGGGGACGGTGTGAGAGCGGTAAGATGGCGGCGGCAGCGGTGGTAGAGTTCCAGAGAGCCCAGTCTCTACTCAGCACCGACCGGGAGGCCTCCATCGACATCCTCCACTCCATCGGTAAAGGTTGCCGCGCCGTCCCCGCGGCCCCGCTGGCCCAGCGCGACCTGTGTCGGTCGGCGGCAGCGGAGAGGGGCCGGGCTAGCCGGCTCTGGTGCTGCTGACTCACTGTGTGTGTGAGGGGGGCCGGGCCGGGGGCACAGGCCGCTCGGGGTCCCCGAGAGCCCCCGGGGTCCCAGTCCGATGGGAAGCCCCGAGGCAGCCCGAGCGTCCACTTGCTGGCTGCTGACTCATGGTGGGCTCAGTGTGGAGTGGGAGGGAGGGCCGGACCGGGCCCCCACCCCTCCTCAGCCTTGTCCCCTGCTCCGGCCCGCACAAGCTGGCCCGGGATCCGGAGCAGTGCCGGCCGGCGGCCTGGTTACAAACCGGTCCTCGAGTGTCGAGTTGAAAGGCCTTGGCTCAGGGCTGGCATTTCCCGCCGTTGTTATCAGCACAGGTTGCTCGGGGTGGGAGCGCGGGTGCTCGCACTTCTCTTGGAGTTTGCTTCCACAGGACCGTGGGATCTGCTACTTATCCCAGCCCTCAACGGAAGGCTCCAGTAAAGGAGGGCATATTTCTGAATGTTGGAAATTTAGGGGTGACACACTCCTCAGGTTGGCATTTGTTTGAGGAGGTGGCCGAGACGTTCCTATGCTCGGTGTAGAGAGAATGTAGGAGCTAAGTATCGGGTGGGACTGCCGGGCTGGAGGAGGTGACTCACTAATCGTCCGGTTCTCTTCTGTAGCGAGGTTGGAAGTTAGTTCAGGGAGTTAGTTGTCAGTCGCGGAGTTCAGGAAACTGTTTGGAACCAGCCGACTGCACGATGCTGGAGAAAAGGAAAAAAATAAACTTCTTGACACTGTGGTATGATTGTCTTACACCTGCACACAACAGGAAAGTTGAAATTGGTGTCCTATCCGGTCGCTTTCTACTGGGATTCAGGTGTGAACAGAAATAAATTTGTGATGACAGAGAAGGCTTTCAATGTTTAATCATGAAGGGTTCAATTAGGGCATGGCTAACTCTTCAGGCACTTGTAGTAATGTGGTCTTTTAAATGTTTCGGATTTGATCAACAAGTAGTATTGGGAATGCACGTGTTTGTGGGTCTTCCAGGATGTTAGTATTTGTGTTGACTTACTGAATCTGTTGAATTTTGGTGCTCAGACTTGCTTGGAGAAAGGACAGTGACAAGATTTTGATGTCTTTATCTTTGTGGGTATTAGAGAAAGAGAGGAGTTGGGAGTCAAGATGCATCTTTGAAGGAATGATATGGTAAAAGGTGTTCCCTTTTGAAGTTTTGATCTCAAGTCTGTTAAAGTTCCAAAACCAGAGTCATGTCAATCACTGTTACCTATATCTTTTTATTCTGAGTTCACATTAATATTTAGAACTGACGTGAGAAGCATGTGTTTTAACCTTTTTTAAGCCTAGTGCCTAATATTTTGTCTTTCAGATAGTAGAAATTATGGTAAACATTAGAGTATTTCTCTCTGGCCCACTGTACTAGGAGGGAGTTCCCTGAAAGCTTCCCTGTAAGAGCAAACTTGAGTCATGATGGTGACAGCTTACTTTTTTCAGACTCCATCATGGAGTATCAAAATCTTGGTTTTTGTCAAGTCATGATGCTTTGTAAGAGAAGTGGTAACTAGTAATGATCACTAAAATTACAAACTTGGAGAGGCTATTAGATGTTCACATGTTCGAATAATTATTAACAGTTGAAAGTGGGACAGAAAGTTATTTTAACAGCACCTGAATCCATTATGAAGCAGCAGTCTCTCCTAAGTGTAACTGTTCAAGATCACACTGGAACTTTGATAGCAGCTTTGAGCCCTTCACAGAATTGTTTATCCCTAATTAACCTATGGGCTGAAGCTTTCCACAGACCTGAAGTTTAATAAAAGGCTTTTGATTTTATAGTCATCAATAACTTGATCATTTGATTTTAGTTTATGGTAGAGATGCGTAGGCATGTTTTATATCTTCACATAAAAGAGTGATTAGCATGGAGCTTAGCATCATAGGTATGAAGGACTTGTTTTAATTTTAATCAAGTGGTCACAACAGAAATCTCAATGTCTATGGGCAAGGGAAATTCCCATGGATAGACTGAAAAAGTACTTTTAAAGAGAGGAATCCATTTTTTTTTTTTTTTTATGACTTACATGGGGGTGTGTTCTACATATATATGACCATTCTATTTGTTTAGAGAGTTTTTTTTCCCCCTTTTGTTAGTTTTTAAGCTTAGAGTTTGTTGGTTAATATATTTAAATTCATAATGGGTCTTGTGAGTGTGAACTTTCCCTCAGTGTTCTTACTTTTAATATGAATTTTAAGAGAACTTTTATTTTTCTCTCCCAGTGAAGCGTGACATTCAGGAAAATGATGAGGAGGCAGTGCAGGTCAAAGAGCAGAGCATCCTTGAACTGGGGTCTCTCCTGGCAAAGACTGGACAAGCTGCAGGTAAGTGCTGCAAAAGGATCATACTTGAAATGCTTTTACCTGAAGTTCTGTGTTGAAGGCACTGTATTTTGTTGAAGGGAAGGGACATGAAACTGCTTTTACACACCCAGTTCATTTGTGATATAAATTCAGTTTTGTTTACTTGGCAACTTATTGATATTCAGTTTTTTTAAGAAGGAAATTAAATGACCTTTTAAACTTTTTTGTTGTTGTTTGGGATTGAACCCAGGGATGCTCTCCCACTGAACTATATCCCCAGCCTTTTCAAATTTTTTTTTTATTTTGACAGTGTCTCACTCAGTTACATAGGCTGGCCTTGAACTTGTGATCCTCCTGCCTCAGCTTCCTGGGTTACTGGAATTATAGGTGTGTGCCATCAGTGTCCTGGTTCTTTAGTGATATAATTTTATTCTACAGATAGGGAAATCCATTTTTATTGGGATATAGGGATCTGTGATTTGTTCCTGGTTTTTGAATAGTCAGTGTATTTCCTTACACATGGGCAACAGTAGTCTCTAGTGATTTTATTGAGCAGCTTTGATGTATTTAATAAGGATAGTGACTTTAAACCCCTTGCTTAAAAATGATTGGGATCTTGTATCCAAGTGATTCACCATTTTTTTTTTTCTGACACACAGTGAATAGGACATTAAATAATTTCTTCTCAACACTTTTCCATTGGTATCTAGGACTTTATGCATGTTGTTGCCAAACACTTTAGTTGTAATTGAACTATTGGCTAGGTTTAAGATGATATTCTGATGATGGGTGTGTCCTTGGAATGGAGAGTTCTGTTGTTCACAAAAGGCCTTTGACCAGTAAAGTGGAAATAGTATTAGAGAGAAGTTTGTGTAAACTTAAAATGGGCTATTTTGTTTATTTAATTTATTTAGTTTTGTCCATTATAAAGTGAATTTTGGGTTGTGGGTATAGCTAAATGTAGACTGTCTAGCATGTGTGAGACCCTGGGTTCAACCCCTAACACTGCAAAGAAAAAAAAAATAGTGAATTTAGAGCATATTTGAATATTATAATAAATTAAACTATGGTAAGTGCCTTTGTGAATTACTTTCCCCCAAATTATGTTGTTATCCAAGAGAATGATGAGAATAATTTACCAAAACTTCTTGAACTTGAGAATTAATTTTTTTTTTAAAATTAGGGTAATTTAACTTATTGGCTCAATCAGTAGAAAGTTGAGTAGAGATGTATGAAATTCTGAGGATGTGTTTACATGGGTTTTTTAGTTTAAAATATTATTTATCTATTACTGGTGATTGAACTGAGGGATACTTTACCACTAAGCTTCATCCCCAGATCTTTTTATTTTTCATTTTGAGACAGGGTCTCACTATGTTGCTGAGATTGGCCTCAAACTTGGTGATCTTCCTGTTCAGCCTCCAAAATTGCTGGGATTACAGGCTTACACTACCATGCCTGGCTAAATTGTCATTTTTAAATAGCTATAAGAAGGACCATACCTGATGAGTTTTGAGTACTATGAACTCTTTTAAAAATGCACGTTTTTGAGTTCTTGAAACAATTTAAAAGTAGGTACTGTTATCCATTTTACACAGGAGGAAACTGAGCACAGAGGAGTTAAATAACTTACCAGTAAATGGTATGGCCAGGGTTTGAACTCGCCATAGTCCCACTTCAGAGATCCTTGCCGTATGGCATAGTTACTGCTTTTCTATAGTTATTCACTTATGGATTATCATTGATGGGTGTTGGTTTTTTCCAACTTAGGGTAACTTCTTTCTTGTTTGATATTATTTATGGATTCCTTTTGCCTGTGAGTGAATTTCCAAAATAATTGATAATTAGTTCATGCAAAATATAATCTATAATTTTACTGAAAGAATTATAAAGCCAGGTGAAGTGACTTAAAAATTTTTTTTTGTTGTTGAAATATTCACATCTCTGCTTTCCTCCAGGAGTATGGATAATTAAAAATTATAAATAAATAAATCTATATCTTTAATAGTAGATATAGTCAGTGCTTCAGTAATTTTTATCTAAAGAAATTATTATTTTATTGAAATTCCTGTTTTTTGCTTATTTATCTTTCATCCTTGCCCTCCTTGCCTTGTGACCCGATATGTGATCAATTTAGAAGTATGTTGCTAAACCTGTTGGAAACTTATTTATTTATTTATTTATTGGAAACCCAAAGGTACTCTACCACTAAGTTATATCCCCAGCCATTTTTCAAAGTTTTTTATTTTGAAATAGGATCTTACTAAGTTGCTAAGGCTGTCCTTGAACTCAGTCTCTCAAGTCTCTGGGATCACAGGCATGCAGTACTGTGCCTGGCTTTATTGGAACTTAATGATGAATTTTAAGGGTTTTCAAAAACTTTCCTAGATTTCTTATCATTTTTTCTAAGATATTGATGAATATAGGTATATACACAATAGAAATCCTAAGGAAGCCTTGGGGCCCATTAAATTCATTTACCTGCCTTTGTTGTTAATAATTGATAGATTTATATTGTTTGTTTCCTTTGATTTTGAGTTCTCTAAGAACAGAAATCTGTTCCATTAATCTTCCATTCATTTTCAGTTTTGCTTTATTATGCATTTAGTCTAGCAGTGTGCTAAGTACTCTGATTTTGAGTTTAAAATTAGGTTCCTGACTGACAATAGTCACTTGGATTAGTGAATAAGACGATGTTTAATGTATAATAGTGATTGAAAGTAGTGCTGAGTGTCACAGACATGAAGCCTAGGCTCACAATCTGCAGATTTCAAAGCCTGAGACTCTTTAAAAGTAATCTGTTAGTTTTTAAGGAGATTTTGGTCATATAATTGCAAATACCAGTGAGAATGGGGGGAAGACATTAGTATGATTTTATGGATATTTTAAAATTTAACTCTGAACATATGAAAATGGAAAGAAATAGGGAGTACATGTAAGAATGAATATAAAACAATAGTAGACCAAAGTGGAAAAAATGAACTCTTGAACAGTGACAACTGAGCTAATTTGTTTCTCTGTTGGCATGAAGAATAACACTCATTGCTTAAAGGAAATATTGTAATGTTATCATGCTGGAGTGAAAGGCAGAATGCTTAGCTCATGTTTTACTTCTGCCTTTTCTAGGAAGGAAAATGATTTTCAAACAGAAAAAAGATAGCGATAACATCAGAAAGAGAGAATTAAAGCCCAGGTAGGTGAGAGACAAGACAGCAGATAGTCTCTTTAAATAAATAAGGTTCTGACAATTTCTGTCTTTGAATATCAAAAGACTTGTTCTATCAGATTCAACCATGACTTTTACTCTAGAAAAGTCATGGAGGATGGAGGAAGTATAAGGAAACTAAGGATAGGTAAATATTATTTCACCTTTCAAAAAGATAATGAAGAAACTAGATTTAGATATTATAAACTATATTATAAACTAAAGTCAGAGAAGCTCTGGAGAGATTTTTTTTTTTTCTTAAAAAATTTCTTTTTAGTTGTAGATGGATAGAATTTATCTTATTTGTTTTTATGTGGTGCTAAGGATCAAATCCAGTGCCTCACATTTGCTAGGCAGACACTCTGCCACTGAGCTACAACCCCAGCCCTGGACAGATTATTTGATTAGGACATTTTAATGACTTATAGCAGTGTATTATGAACAGATTACGCCAAACTTTCCTTTAGAACTGGTAGATTTGCAGGAATCCTGCCACCTGTTTTTGCAAACAAAGTTTTATTGAACATGGCCACACCCGCTCATTTTCATATTGTCTTTGACTCCTTTTCTACTATAACGGCTTAGATGAGTACCTGCCAGTGAGACCATATAACCTAAAAAAGCCAAAAGTATTTACCATATGGCCGTTCATAGAAAAAAAAATTTCAATTTGTGAATTAGAGAAATGATATAGGCTGTATTATTTGGTTTAAGCAGAATATTTGAACATTTACCATGATTACTAATATAGCAGGTACAGTTAGGAATTTACAGTGGGCTAAATAACTGTATCTGAAATGTGTTAATAAATGTGTCATTTGTCTACCTGAAGAAAAGTCTCTAGTATCGTGTCATAGGAATCTATCCTTGTTTAGCTTGTCAGCATCTGGTATCATGGTTAAAGCCATTTCAGAAGGCATGCTTATTTTTGTAGATGATTCAGTATAGTAGAGGACAGAATTAAGATTCACAGTTACTGCCAAAGCCAAGAAGATTAAATTCATTTGTGATAAGTATAAAGTTATTATACTTGAAGTATTTATCATAACAGAGGAAGATGGGGAATTACCTGTCTTAACAGTAGTCTATGCAAAAAAAAGACCTTTGTGGTCTGAACAGTCTGAACAAAGAATGCTATTGGAAAAAAGCAAAATATGCTATCTTGTGGTATGTGTAGTAACCAGAGAAAGAATTAAACCTACTATTACACCCCTCTTGGAGCATTTTCTTTAGTTCTGGGTTCAGTAGTGTATTGCAAGTACCTTTATAAACTAGAGCTTATTCAGAGGAGGGCAACTGTAGGGATAAGTACTCTAGAAACTTGGACATTGGAGGAACAATTGAAATAGCTAAAGATATTTAGCTTGGAGAAAGGGAAAGTTAGGGACATGTAAATGATAGTTATTTTAAAATATTTGAAGTCATATGGGAGGAGGTATAGGCTTGAGTTTCCTAAAAGAATAGTTTGGTTTGATCAACATTGGAATAGATTACTTTTTGAATATTTTAGTCACTAGAAGTCACATTGTTCATGCATAGGAGAAAATGCTATAGGAGAAGGGATGTTTAAAAAGTTATGATGGGGGCTGGGGCTGTAGCTCAGTGTCAGAGCACTTGCCTTGCACATGTGAGGCACTGGGTTTGATCCTCAGAACCACATAAAAACAAACAAATAAATAAATTTTTTAAAACAATTATGGGCATGTGGCTTAAGGTAGAATGCTGTTCAGCATGTCTGAGACCCTAGGTTCCATCCCAAGCACCACATAAATAAATAAATAAGATTAAAAAAATTAAAAACTGTCATTATGTAATTAAAATTTGTATTTGCATAAATGTAAAAAGCAATTTGAGGGGGAACATCGCTATAGACTGGAGTTAGCATGGAAACTTAATAGGACTATTCCTCAAAGGCTATGTAAAGCTTATTTATATAAGTCAAGAAGATGGGAAGACATATCAGATGTCAGATGGCATGGTGGGATGACTGCAGCTTGAAAGCAGGAATGTAGTGTATGTGAGGGTGAATGAGAGGGCAGAATGGGAAAAAGTTGTAGACATTGGGAATCAAAGGTCAGTACTGGGGAGTGAAAGGGAAAGATGAACTCTGTGTAGAGTTCCTTTTAGTACCTGACACAGTCCTGTGCATCCTCTTACTACTCAGGCAGATGAGCGTTTCAGGACACAAATTAGTGTTCTCAGGAGGGTGAAGATCGCTTGTCCTGAATTAGAGTTCTCATGGGGGTGAGTCTACAATAGGAGAGTACTAAAGAGGCACTGAGGTAGTTTTAACCTATATTCCAAAAATACTTCCTTTTGTTTAGTAGAGACATTCTCTAATTTTTGTTTGACAAGCATGTATCTCTAGTTTACTTTTTCTAAAGTCTCTCCCTTAGTGTTCATGTACTGTTCTCTTTTCTTCTACAAGGGGGAAGAAGCAGGTGTTTCTCTCACTGAAAGAGAATTGTTTTTTAAGACTCAGATTTTGTAGATTAGTAGGATTTAAAAATCTTTTTTTAAGATTGATATAATACTTGTATTTTATTTATTTATTTTTATGTGCTACTAAGGATTGGACCCAGTGCCTCACATGTGCTAGGCAAGTGCTCTACTACTACCCCAGCCCTGATTAATGGGAATTAAAAAAAAAAAAATAAGGGTAAAACTCCTTAACCTCTATGTGGAAAGTTTATTCAGAAGAATGCTGAGGAAGTGATAACTGCTAAAGGCGATATTGGGGATCCTTCAAGAATTACTTCAAGAAGGGAAGGAAACTTGGTATTGAAAGTCTCTGTTTGAGGAGAACTGCAAAGGTAGACTTGGGATATATATATATACTCCTGTAGCTTGGTATTTGTTGATTGTGAGAAAGTGATTTTGTACAAGGTGGGCAGAGGTATAGCACATTTCATGGTCTAGAAAACTGACCTTTGAGAATAGGAGTACTTTGCACATTATCTTTCATTAAGATGGGTAAATGAGGCATAGATATAAGATTTTTTATTCTGGGTTTTCATCCAGTGTCTGAGAAGGAAATAAAATACAAATTTGGTATATGATATTAATCTTACTTTTGCTACTCTATTTCCTGCTGGGACTGCTTTAAATTCTTAGTAAGTTTCATTTAGACTAATTTCAATGATGTAAGTACTGATTTTTATTATTTTGGGTCAGTTTTAATGGGTATTTTGTCCCTGATACTGATGCTTACGTTTTTTCTTATCTCAATTGCCTTCTATACAGAGCTTGGGGGACTCCTGAAGTATGTACGACCCTTCTTGAATTCCATCAGTAAGGCTAAAGCAGCTCGCCTAGTCCGGTCTCTTCTTGATCTGTTTCTTGATATGGAAGCAGCTACAGGGCAGGAGGTAAGCTATGGTAATGACAGAAAGTAGATTATATGGAAAAAAGTGTTTTAGTGAGAGAAATGCCTGCTTCGCTGTGGTACTAGGTGGAAGGGACAGCTGGGAGGACGGCTCAGGACTTATCATGTCAGTTTCTCTTTGTTACAGGACATTTGATACTTTGGGTCTGTTCCATGCTTTGCTTTGTAAGTGGAGATTGTCAGTGGTCCCTGGAATCCTCATTACATCAGGGTCACAAACTGATTCTTGTCTTTGAGGTATTGTATTGCCACACCTTTGTAATGTTTTCTGTGTCTGTGGTACCTTTCATCTTGTGTGACAATGCTCTTTATGAGCAATAATTAAGTCTTGTGGCAGCCCTTCTTGGCATGTTTATATTATGTACATGCCTTTATTGAGGGGTGAGCATTCATCTGTTGTGTCTCGTGTGTGCGGAAGTGACTCTGATGTTTCTGTACATGTTCTCTCTCTCTCTTTCTCTCTCTCTCTCTCTTTCTGTCTTCCCCCTCCAGTACTGGGGATTTAACCCAGGGGTGCTTTGCCACTGAGTTAGATCCCCAGTCCTTTTTTACAGGGTCTTGCTAAGTTGCTAATACTGACCTTAAACTTATGATCCTCCTGCCTCAGCCTCCTGAGTAGCTGGGATTACAGGCATGTGCCACCATGTCCAATTCTGTACATGTTCTTTACAAATTCAAACTAGACCTTGAACTGAATGGAAGAGTGCCTCTCTGTAATGACTGAACTTCTTAATTAGAAATCATTCTGTAAACAGTGACAGACTTAAGGATATATTGCAATTGCTTGAATCTTTTAGGAAGAATATAGTTGTTACCTTTCCTGTAGATACATTTATCAGGATTTATTGCGTATCTGCTGTGTGTTAGGTACTGGGATACAACTGTAAAAACACACTATCACTGTTCTCAAGAGGATTTTAATAGGGAAGACAGATAATTAAACCATACATAAAATTTTAATAGTATGTAGACAGGAGTTAGAATTGTTAGTTGGCTACATGTCTAGTTATTTGCTGTATATAGGGAAAAGATATGAAAGTCCACAGTAGCATATTGAATAAATCATGAGGAATTTTAGAAACCCAAGGGCACATGGGTCCCACTTGGAAATCATGTCTTTTGTTAAATCTGGTTTCTTGCCTTAATGATTCTTTGAAGCTTAGTTACAAACTTTATTTGTGTGAAATATTTGTTTTGGGCAAAACTGTGTTTAATTGATAGTAGATCACAAATAAGTAATATTTAGATGACTGCCTTTTGAACCAAAGTATTAGAGTTATTTTTTAATTTTAATCTTTGGGTACTAGGAATTTAACCCAGAGATGCTTTGCCACTGAGCTATATCCCCAGCTCTTTTTATTTTTTATATTTTAAGACACTGAATAGCTTAGGGTCTTGCTAAGTTGCTGAGGCTGGCCTCTAATTTGTGATCCTCCTGCCTCAACCACCTGAGCCTCTGGGATTATAGGCATGTGTCACTGCACCTGGCTTAGACTTATTTTTAATTTTTTGTAGTTGTAGATGGACAGAGTACTTTTATTTTATTTGTTTATTTTTATGTGGTGCTGAGGATTGAATTAGTGCCTCACGCTTGCTAGGCAAGCGCTCTGCTGCTGAGCCCCAGCCCGAAGGCTTATTTTTATAAATAAAAGAAAAGGTGACTTTTTATTTGGGATATCAGTCTTATCTAACCCTGACTTTAAAAAATTGTACTTTGTACTCATTAAACTGGCACCATCTTTTGTTTGAAGTAGGACACTATAAAGTAGAGTGATCAATAAATGTTAGTTTGAAAATTATTAGTAAATGCTACTTGAAGCCGGGAGCAGTAGTGTAGGCATATAATTCCAGCAACTCAGAAGTCTGAGGCAGGAGGCTTTTAAGTTTGAGGCCAGCCTCAGCAAATTAGAGAGGCCCTAAATAACTTAGTGAGACCCTGTTGTGTGTGGGAGGTGAGCGCTCTACTGCTGAGCCACAACTACAGCCCCTTAATGGAACTTTTTAGGCAGAAAAATTATAGAAGCTGCTCCTTTGCACATGAAAGTCTGTGGAATTTGATCTTTCCTAGAACACAGAGCTGACTTCAGTGGGCAGAACTGCATTTGTTTAATGATCAGTTCTTTTACATCTTTGTGGAAGTATATGCAAATCATAGTTTAATGGTGTCTTTTAATTGACCAGTGAGATTTACTGGCCTTTGTCGTATGGTTCTACATCAGGTTAGGCTCTCCCTTAACTGTATATGTTACCTTGCATTACATATTACCTTTTTGTGAACTAGCCACCTTTCTTCTTTTTCCTTGAGTATGAGGAAGCATATGTAGGCATTTTTCATTTTTATCATCAGTGTTACTTTACTGTTAAATAAAGGCTAATTTTTTTTTTTTTTTTTAAATTAAGTGCCAGAGTCTTAACGGAACACCTCCCCCCAGGGGCACACTCCCACTGAGATATCTACCTAGCCTTTTTGATTCTCTATTTTGAGACAGGGTCTCACTAAGTCCAGAAACTGACCTTGAACTTGTGATCTTCTTGCCTTACGCTGAGTTCTGGGATTATAAGTGTGCACCACTATTCCTTACCCTTTTTAATTCGGGGGGGGTGTGTGTGTATTTATATATAGATACACACATATTCTCCCCGCCATTTATATTGGAGATTGAACTCAGGAGCACTTTACCATTAAGCTACATCCCTAGTTTTTTTGTTTGTTTGTTTGTTTGTTTTTTTGAGGCAGAGTCTCACTAAATTGCTGAGGAGCTTGCTAAGTTTTTGAGGCTAGCTTTGAGCTTGTCGTCTTCCTGGTTTAGCCTCCTGAGTTGCTGGGATTATAGGCATGCACCTCTGCCTGGCCTGACCTCCCTCACCCCCTTTTTTTCAAATCAGGTTCTTGATAGATGGCAGAGTTTGGCCTTGAGTTTGTGATCCTCTTTCCTCAACCTCACAAGTTGCTAGATATTTTGGTAATTTTTGTGGATAATAGGTTATTTATTTTTTGGGGAAGAGAATCAACCTGATGGTTTCAGCTAAACCCGTACTCAGTATCACCAACCTCAGTATCCAACCATTTGTTAAATTCTTTTCATGCAACTGTCTTCAATGTCTGCTTCTCCACCTCTTTTGTATTTGTTTTCTCTTTACAACTACCTTCTAATTTGGTTCCTAATAATTTGTTATTTGGACTATAGAAGAAACCTCACTATTCCAATCATTTCATTTCTCTCCTTTTTTCCCTCCAGCTTGAGCCTTCAGTGGCTCTCCATTATCAGTAGGTAGTTCTTGGTATTTTATGATACAGCTTTCTACAGCAGCTTGATCTACTGGCACTCTACTAAATTTACCAAATATGTCAGTCATATGCCTGGATGTTTGCTGAACAGCCCTGTCTGCTCCTTTTGCTGTACCTTTACATAGTTCTATCTCAAGGTCCACCTTCTCTGAAATCTTTCCTTGTAGACTTTGGTGTGATCATTACTCTTTCAGTGACCCATATTTACATATTATGTGTATGATTATTCTGCTTTGTATGACAATTACTTGTACATTTACTTTCTTTAATATAATCTCAGGTGAAGCATTATATACCTTACATTACCTAAGGATCTTCCTCCTTCCCAGTATATTCCAAATTCCTTAGCCATAGCTACCTCTGACTGTATCCAGTACCCAGTACACTGATTTCTGTTTTACTTTCTTTACAGCTGGCATATTGTCCTTTTTGCCATAATCCCTTAAACTGTTCTGGTTGTGGGGCATTTATATTCATCTGGATTGTTCAGCCTGTTCCCCCCCCCCCCCAATCCTAGGTTTATTCAGTATAATTCTTTGACTCTACATAGTGCTTTTGTAAAATGCTACAAAGTTAAAAAAAACACACACACACACAAAACCTCAAATGTGGTGGGGTTGTAGCTCAGTGGTAGAGCACTTGCTTCACATGTGTGGGGCCCTGGGTCAATCCTCAGCACTACATAAAAATGAATAAATAAAAATAAAGATATTTTGTCCATCTACAATTAAAATAAATAAACAAACAAATAAAAACTAAAAAATTTTGTATACTGACTATACAGTAAAAACCCAAAACAGCATACAGGTGTTTGAGTAACCTGCAAGACCACTAAATGGCAGGTGAAATGGGGTCTCAGCCTGATGATAACATGAGTGTTTTTCTTCATATTATTTCAAGTCTTTGCTCACATATTGCTTCCTCAGAGACCTTCTTTGAGCAATCTCTGCTTTACTTCGTATTTACTTGTTTAACGTTTCTTTTGGTTTGTGAGGATAGCTGCTTTTTCCTATTTACTGCAGTATCATTGGTACTTGGAATAGTTTTGTCTCAGAGGAATTACATAACTAGTACTTGTTGAAGGAGTATGTGGATTATGCCTCTATTGTGGTAGATGCCCAGAAAATACTGTTGAATTGAGATCTGAGTTTACTGAATAGAGATGTAAGCATGGGGTGCTTGCATCTCAGTACTCCTTGTCTAGGTGACACAGAGATATCTGACTTGGAAATCAGAAATAGTTTTCATTTTTGGTTCTTTTAAAATTCTTTGGGTGATGGAAAAGGATGGAGAAGTAAGACAGATGCATCACTGTCATAGTATTATTGAGGCCTGAAGCAAAATAGGAAGTTTTAGATCATTTTTAAGAAATAGAGTTTTGTGTTAAAGAATTTGTTACCTTTTTCTGTTTAGGGGCCAGCTGTAAGTCAGGGGTATTTACAGAACAATCTTCCAGCCTGCAGTATTCTTAAAGATGATGTGATTCAGGGTATGATCTGGTTGTTTGTGTTGCTAAGATTTGGAATCCAGAAAGTAAGGACAGGGAATAAGTATAGGAGAATGGAGGGTGGGGGTGAAGACGGGTGGTTGGCACGATGAGGGAATTTGGAAAAGTGTGACGAAGAGAAGACTGAGCCAGATTCTTGCCAAGCAGTAAACTGAACTCAAATTAATGTTTCCTTTAGGGATCTCTAGGGAGTTGCTGTGGGAAGCCATTGTTGGGTGTAGTCTGTCCAGCAGAAAGTAATAGCACATTTAATTTTTTTTCATATGCATACTTTTATTAAATATAATTTCCAAAAAAATGAGAAAAGTGGTATTGCTTTACATTTCTGCTTTATTACTTTTTATATAATAGCATACTTAGTAAACCAAAAGGGTTAGAGAATTAGAGAATTTCAGTCGTGAAATAATGGCTGTTTTTTCCTTAGAGGAATTTAGTTAATTCAGGTATTATAAAAGAAAGTATAATAGAGGCTGGGGATGTAGCCCAGTGGTAGAGCCCTTGCCTAACATATGCAAGGCCCTGGTTTTGTTTCCCAGCACTGAAAAACAAAAAGCAAAACAACTACTGCGGGCTGGGGATGTGGCTCAAGCGGTAGCCTGCTCGCCTGGCATGCATGCGGCCCCGGTTCGATCCTCAGCACCACATACAAACAAAGATGTTGTGTCCACCGAAAACTAAAAAATAAAATATTAAAATTCTCTCTCTCTCTCTCACTCTCTCTCTAAAACAAAAAACAAAAACAAAAAACACAACCTACTGCTCTACCCTCCAAAAACAAGTAAAGAAATGGCTTAGTGTAATAGTTTAAAACTTAAATCCTTAATTTTGATTATGTTGAGCTTTTTGAATTCAAGTCAGGGCTTTCCTCCAGAAGCCTGGGCTTATGCCCTTTGTCAGTCACTGTTACCATTAACAAAGCACAAAGCCTCTCACACAAAAAACTGTATAGCAAAGCTTAGTGGCCTTTATAAATTTTTTTCTGGGAACTGAAGTGGTGGTTTCACTAATTACAGTTCTATATAATGCAAATTATGTACTCTAATTGAAAATAGAGTGCTGACCTTAAGTCTGGGTTGAGGTAAAAAGAGCACTGGGGGTAGGGATAAGTTCTGGTCCCAGCAGGTATTATGTGACCTTGTGCCGGTCACTTCATATCATGAGTATTAGGCTGAGGTAGAAGGATCACAGGTTGGAGGCAGCCTCACCAATTTGGTGAGACCCTGACTCAAAATGACAAGTAAAAAGAGCTGGGAATGAATCTTGTAGTAAAGCACCCCTGGGTTCCAACCCCAGCACAGAAAGAAAGAAAGGAAAATATCTGGACTATCAGGGAAATTAAAGTAGGTGAAATCTTGGGGTAGAATTATGTGTTTCTTAGTTAGATATATATTTCAGAGTGTTTATTGAAGTGTAACTTAATATAGAGGAATGTACCAAGTTCCAGGCATCCATTTTTGTCATTTAAAAAAGCTCTTTGAGTAAAACTAATAGGCATTTCTTAGGCATGTGGGACTTAAGACTCTTGTATTTTTTTTTGTTAAAAATATTTTCAGTTCCATATATTATGAACAGAGATATTACTTTGAGTTTGTTTTTTTAGAACTTACCTCAAAACTCCGAAATTTGATTGCCTTGCTTTTGGTTTAGTTTTGGGTTCTTATTTTTGTAGAATGTTTATGAGATTAGCCACTAGAGGGCTGCAGTGAGGATTTCATCTTAGTGGTGAATCATCTAAATACCATTAGTTTATTGCTGAGCTTGAATTTAGGATCTAAAGGCAAAAGATCGATATATTTATTTATTTATTTATTTAGGAACTGAGATTTGAACCCAGAGGCAGTTTACCACTGAGCTAAGTTGCCAGGCCGATATAATTTTTTATTTTGAGGCAGGGCCTTGCTAAGGTGCTGAGGCCAGCTTTGAACTTGTGATCCTCCTCCCTGAGCCTCCTGAGTCCCTGGGTCTCTTAAGAGAATTTTGAATTTATAATATTATATTAGCACTTAGTTTTCTGGAAAATTGAGGTTTTTTTTCCCCTTATGATCTAATTAGCAATCTTCATGCAAAACTCATAGTAGTAGAAGTGACATAATATCTGTAGTACTTCATAGGTACTTTGTCAAACCTGGTCTATCAGAGATATCTGATGGTCTGCTAGGCTAGCATAGAACATGGTTTTGTATCAGTTACTTTGTATCTTACATCACTGCTTGGGTGACAGAACTGGAGGTTCCAGAGTTCCTTTAAATAAAGCTTAAGAGCCCTTTTAAATTTTATGCTATTTTTTTTTAACTCCTTTAACACAAGCTAAGTTTACTGTATCTGTTTGCTTTGTGGGTGATGATGAATTGGTTAGTTGTACTTAGAATCTGAAAAGAACCAGCATTTGTGAGTAGGCTGAGAACATCTCTCCTTTACTGCAGTATATTCACAAATGCACATTGCCATTACTATTTCCAACTATTCTGGGAGAAATTTTGGCTTTAAAAATTCTAAGCTTTCCCCCAAAATACACACTATAGGGCTACATGTGTTTTGGAGAGTTCTGGGTGGATCCTAGAAGAGTCTTTTTTTTTCCTCTTCTTTTTGGTACTGGTCATTGAACCTAGTCCTTTTTATTTTTATTTTGAGATCTTATTAAGATAATTGAGGCTGGTCTCAAACTTGGATCCTCTAGCCTTAGCCTCTTGAGTAGTCTGTGCCACTGCACCTAGCTAGAAGAGTCTTAAAGAGGAAGCTCTTTTCCAAAAGAGCAGTTTAAACACAAAAGAGATTTTATGTGTAAAACGCCAAGTTGATTCTCTATTATGATGTACCCTTTATATATTTGAGACACTGTGTATCAGACACTTAATAGAGCAATGTGGGTAATTCATAAGGAGGAATTAAAGCTCTTCTGTTCTCCAAAGCATAGTTGATTGGAAGAATATGAGGATATAATGTTGCATGTACTGTCTTTATTGCAGGTTGAGTTGTGTTTAGAGTGCATTGAATGGGCCAAATCAGAGAAAAGGACTTTCTTACGCCAAGCTTTGGAGGTATGTATCCACATTAGCACTGATTTCAGTTCTCAGACATTAGTGAATATAAGTAATACCATCCTGATCAAAAGCATCTTCAACAACTTTGTATTATCCATTTACTAAAAGATTATCACTGAAATAAGTCACTGAAAGTTGTCTCATTTGTGAGAGTTGCCCTGGTTGAAGTTTTGAGACAAACTTTCTAAAGCAGCAACATGGTAAAGTTAACAGTCTTTGGCAATAATAGGAGACAATACTGGGGTCTGGATCATTTGTTATGCTGCATTTGATGGTATCATCAGGACATGGATATTCAACAGTAACAGTTCTGTGACTGTTGATCTTTGATTTCTTTCTGTGGCTTTTTTTTTTTTTTTCCTTCCTTCAGTCAATGCCTTTTCTCTTTCCTAGGCAAGACTGGTGTCTTTGTACTTTGATACCAAGAGGTACCAGGAAGCTTTGCATTTGGGTAAGTAAACTGGTAGAAATTAATAAGACATCTTAGTTAGCTAAATGATTATATTCTAAACCTGGCTATTCTTATTAATTAACTATTAAAAATTTATATTCTACCTACTTCTGAGGATTCAAGGTAGTTTACATTTATGGACTTTGTCATGGAAAAATGCTATTTGAAAGTTCTGAGAAACTGGCTATAGTTATTCTGTTAAATTTAGAGAACAAACGTGTCAGTTTTTGTTTCCTTGAGTTTGAACAGTCCATTCCATTGAAGTAGCTGAAGTTCTTTTCAATATTTCTGTTTTGTATATAGCACCGTATTAAATTGCAGATTTAATTTTTTTTTTTTTTTGGTGCTGGGGATTAAACCCAGGGGTGCTTAGCCACTGAGTCACATTCCCCTCATTTTTTATTTTTTGAGACAGGTTCTTGCTAAATTTCTTAGGGCTTCATTAAGTTGCCGAGTCTGGCTTTGGACTCGTGATCCTCCTGCATCAGCCTCCTGAGTTGCTGGGATTACAGGTGCGTGCCACTGCACCTCGCCAGATTTAATATTTAAATTGAAAATGTTTAAAAAGTATTACATATGCTACATTTGTTTTTAATTGTACTTACAATCTATTAAATCAAAAAGTGAATTTTGAGTGCAAATATGTTTGGAGGCCAAAGTGGGCCAGTTGAAGGCATTCACTGTGTAGCCTGAACTCTTTCCCTGCTGCTAGTTTTTACTAATTGGTAGATCTGGACTATTTTCCCCAGATCTACCAATTTTCCCCAAACAGAAGAAAATGGCCTTTATGATCTGTTAATTTGAATAGATTGCCAGTATTTAATCTGTCAGAATGCAATTAATATGTTTTAAACAAATAGGTCACTCTTTTAAAGTATATGATTCATTGTGTTTGTTTGTTTGTTTTTTGTACAAGAGATTGAACCCAGGGGCACTCAACAACTGAGTCACATCCCTAGCCCTTTTAAATATTTTATTTAGAGACTGGGTCTTGCTGAGTTACTTAGGGCTTACTAAGTTGCTGAGTCTGGCTTTGAACTCAGGATTCTCCTGCCTCAGCCTCCAGTGCTTGCTGTGATTATAGGCATGTACCACCACGCCTGGCCATTGGTTTTTTAGTATATTCAGTAAGTTGCGCAACCATCACCACTATCTAATTTCAGAATTTTTTCATCACCCCAGAAAGAAACTGTGCCCATTAGCAGTCACTCTCTAATAATTCTCCACACATACTTAGTGCACGTACAGGGCAACTGGGCAACTGGAGGATAGCATAACATGTGGTCTTTTGTGATAAGCTTCTTTTACTTGGCATAATGTTTTTAAGGTTTATCTATGTTGTAGCATAATCAGTATTTTATTTCTTTTTATTGCTTAATAATAGTCTATTGGGTGTTTTACATTTTACCTATCATTTGGTGGCATTTGGAGTTGTTCTTACTTTTTGACTATTATGAATACTGTTGTGAAGAGGTTTCAGGTGGATATGGTTTTCTTTTCTTTCTTTCTTTTTTTTTTTTTTTTTTGTAGTTATAGATGGACAGAATGCCTTTATTTTATTTACTTTTATGTGGTGCTAAGGATTGAACCCAGTGCCTCACACATGCTAGGCAAGTGCTCTGCCACTGAGCTGTAGCCTCAGCCCCCGATATGTTTTTTTTTGTGTGTATATATCCAGAAGTGAAATTGCCAGGTCACATGGTAACTGTTTATCTTTTTGAGGGACTGTCAAGGAGTTTTCCAAAATGGATGTACCATTTTACATTATCACCAGCAATGTATAAGCAGAGTTATAGTTTCTCTACATCCTCATCAATACTGTCTCTTTTTTATTTTAGTTCTCCTATATATATGTACTGGTATTTCATTATGGTGTTGATTTGCATTTCCTTAATTGCTGATGATGTTGAACATCTTTTCATGTACTTGTTGCTCATTTGTATGTCTTTGGAGTAATGTCTGTTTAAATCCTTTGGACATTTAAAAATTGAGTTACTTATTTGTTTTACTCTGGATACAAGTCCCTTACCAGATCTATGATTTGCAAATATTTTTTGCTATTTTGTGGGTTATTTTTTTCACCTTTTTTGTTTTTAAAGCTTTTTTTTTATACACAATACTTTTATTTTATTTTTATGAAGTTTTAGTTCTTTGGTCTGTTTTTAGTTAATTTTTGTTTGTGGCATAAATCTTTTGGTTCTTGACATTCTCATGCAGGATGGGGGAACTAGGCATATTTATATCAAGAACACTGGCATATCCAGAACTCTTTACTTTCCCCAACAGCCCTACCTAGTGCCTAGTGTTTCTGGTATAGTCTTATGATTGCTGGACAGGGAATGAGTGAGGTCAAGTCCGTGTCTGAACTGGATAACTAGTTTTAGTATTTTATTGGTAGAGGTTCCCACTATATTTAAATCTTAGGAGTGAGCTTAGAGGGCTCTTGGCTTCAATACTGTCCTTGGGAAGCAGAATAGTTTCAATGAGATGTGTGTTTCTTTTTTAGAAGGTAGCACATTAGAGGAAAACAATTCTTTCAAGGGCTCTAAAGGTAACTTTTTTGAGTTCAGGCAGATTTCTTTATCTCAAGTGTTATTAAGGTGAGAGAGTGAGATTTTTCAGCAATATGGTATTATGATTATGGTTAACAAAGAGATACATTTTTTCCTCTTCCAGGTTCTCAGTTGCTGCGGGAGTTGAAAAAGATGGATGACAAAGCCCTTTTGGTGGAAGTACAACTTTTAGAAAGCAAAACATACCATGCCCTGAGCAATCTGCCGAAAGCTCGAGCTGCCTTAACCTCTGCTCGAACCACAGCAAATGCCATCTACTGTCCCCCTAAATTGCAGGCCACCTTGGACATGCAGTCAGGTAACCCTCATAGCTATTCCTGGGATGTGTTTTCTTAGAGCTCATCTTGTCTTAGGTATGGAAGGATTGGGATTTGGGGCTGGAGAATATAATGGGCTGATTTGACTCAAAGAAACCAATTAGAAGGCTACCTTTCTAACCAGCTGTTCCCTTCCTATTGAGTGCCTTAAATATATTAAAAATATGCCTATCATTTCTTAGCCAGGCAATATGACTGTTAGAACCAAACCTTAGAGAGGTCTCACTGAGGTTTGAAAGTCTCCCTTAATTTTCCTATTAGCTGCTTACACTCAGCATGGTAGCATTTCTCTTTTAAGATTGGCCTAATCCAAGTCTGTTAACTCTTGCAGACCTTCATAAAACTTATTGAATTTTTAAAAGGACCTTAATTGTGTGTAGTATGTAGCTTTCTGATGGAGTGTGTGAATGTTGGTGTTAGGAAGCAATGGATTGGCAGGTGAAAAACTTTTTCTTGTATTCAGCATCTTTTTTTCACCAGAGGCATCATTACTGAAGGAGTGCTAAATTGGAGGTAGAAGAATAGTACTTTTTTGTTTTTGTTTTTTGTTTATTTTGGTAGTAATAGGGGTGCTCTACCACTGAGCTATATCACAGTCTTTTCTTTTAGTCTTTTGTATTTTATTTTATCTTTTAAAAATTTGAGACAAAGTTTTGCTAAGTTGCTTAGAGTTTCTTTAAGTTGCTCAAGACTGGCCTCAAATTTAGCTGTCTTCCTGCCTCAGCCTCCTGAGTTTGCTGGCATTACAGGTGTGCACCACTGCACCTGGCTCAAAAGACTAGTTTAAGCACTGATGTTATCTGTCTCATCTATCAAAGGTAATATATGCCCATCTTGCCTCTCAGATCTAGGAACAGCCTTTCCTTGGTTAATAGTTAGGTCTGCTGATTTATAGGTATTTGGTCTTGGGAAAATTACTTAATTTATCTTTACCTTTAACTCATCTATGAAATGGTGAAAATAATTGTACCTCTTTATAGAATTGTGGTGAGAATTAAACAAGGTGATGAGTGTGAAGCCCTTATCACAGTACTCACCTTAAACCAAATATTGCCACTTTGAGCTACTAAGGGTGAACCCTTCCTTTATGGTCAAGAGGTGAACTTCTTTCCTACTTTTCAAAAGAAATAGATGGCATTTTGAATGTGAGCCTTCTTTATTTCTCTTTTCTCTACAGAATTTGTATACTATCTATTTTTACCCCTTATCAAGAATGAGCTTTCCACCTTTCTCTTGTTCCATTTTATGTCTTTAGTCATTCCTCTCAAAATTTGCTTGTCAGTCTTTGAACTGCTCCAGCTGAAAAAGCACAGCCTTTTCTCTGATGTAAATTGCTGCTTTTGCCTTTGTGTCAAGTTTATTGAAAAAGTTGAAAGAGTATCCTTATTTTGTGTTTCTTTTTTCTTTTTTTTTTTTAGTTGTAGATGGACACAATACCTTTATCTTATTTATTTTTATGCGGTACTGAGGATTGAACCCAGTGCCTCACACAAGCTAGACAAGTGCTCTACCTCTGAGCCACAACCCTAGCCCCTTACTTTGTGTTTCAGCTGATTCCTTGAAGAAGTCAACTCCCTTATAATCTCTGACTTTTGGGGATGAGGGTTCAGCCCTGTTGAACCCTAGACTTCCTTGACATCACCATCTTCTTGGTTTGCCTCCTTTGACTATTATTTGTGGCCCCATGTTGCCATTTTCATTTCCTTCCAACTGCCCTTTAACTGTGGCTGTTCCTCAGTGTTTCTTTCTTAGCTTTGTTTCCCTTCCTGTTTTTCCTGTTTCCTCTCTACTCCTATATTCTCTCATGGTTTTACTGCCATTATTGGTCTCCTCATCTAGATTTCTAGTAGCTTCCCTCTCTAGATCTAAATACTAGATCTAAAATTCTAGCTGCTTAAAGGATATACATACCTAACTATCACATTGCTATCTCAGTGGGAACTTATCAAAAACTAACATCCAAACTTAACATCCAACTCCCTTCTCCAGCTGTCATTTCTGGATTTAATTTCATTGTTAATGGCATCATTGACTTAGTTGTTCAAGCTTTCATAATCAGAGTAATTTTGTCTCTTTTCCTTTTTTTCCCCTCAAACCAGTCAGTTAGCAGATCATTTTGAAACTGCCTCCATATTTGCTCTTTTTATCATTTTAACATCGTGGTAATTAGGCTTTAATTGTCTTTTACTGGTGTAACTGTCACTAGTCATTTTTTTCTAATCCATCCTCATCTGGCCTCAATGTCATTTTTTTGAAACCAAATCTGTTTTGTAATTCCTTTGTTTAAAGTTCTCCAATAGTGCTGGGCTTGGTGGAACAATCCTATAATCCCAGCGGCTCGGGAGGCGGAGACAAGGACGATGGCGAGTTCAAAGCCCGCCTCTGCAATTATGAGGCACTAAGCAACTCAGTAGACCCTGTCTCTAAATAAAATACAGAATAGGGCTGGGGATGTGGCTCAGTGGTTGAGCACCCCTGAGTTCGATCTCTGGGACTGCCCCCGCAAAATCTCTAGTGGTTAAAGTAAATGTTACTTTAACATGATATTCAAAAGGAAGGCATCCTTTCCTTTTCATCCTAACCTCTGGATTTAGTCTTAGTCACTGAAAGATTTCATGGTCTCTGGGTATTCCATGTTACTTCCTGCTTCTGTCTATATTTTGTCGTCTTTGCTTAAAATTTCTCTCTTTACCTCGCATCCATTGCAAACTCATGTATTCATCTGGATCTAGTTCAGATGTCTCCTTTCCTCCTTTGTACCTTCCTCTTTGATTTTGGACTTCCCTACCAAAAGAGAGAGAGAGAGAGTTTTATTTTTTTACTTTTTAAAATATTTTATTTTTTAGTTATAGTTGGATAGAATACCTTTATTTTATTTATTTTTATGTGGTGTTGAGGATCGAACCCAAGGCCTTGCTCGTGCAATATGAGGGCTCTACTGCTGAGCCACAACCCCAGTCATATATATAATAATATATATATTATATTTGTAGGTGAACACAATATCTTTATTTATTTATTTTTAGGGTGCTAAGGATTGAACCCAGTGTCTCATGTGTGCTAGGCGAGCGCTCTACCACTGAGTCACAACCCTAGCACGGCAGGTGCTTATTAATGTTTGTGTTGAATAAGTGAGTCTAGTTTTTTGTTTTTCTATAAATAAACTTCGTGCTTACCATGATATTCCTGATAAAAACATGGCCCTTGTTTACTAATGTGTTGGAGAGAACAATATGTCAGCTCTTGGGCTTTTTATTTAATTAATATTTTCAACTGTAAATGGACATGGTATCTTTTTTTTTTTTTAAATTTTTTTTAACATGGTGCTGAGAATCTAACCCAGTGCCTCACACATGCTAGGTAAGCGCTCTACAACTGAGCCACAACCCCAGGCCACCCCCGCAACCTTTTTTTAACTAGACTTATTTTGGGTATGATCTGTTAGCTCCTAGCTCTGTCCTGAGGGATGTGGTTCAGTGGGGATGTGCCTTATTTAGTTTGGCAGCATTAATAATTGGTTGTTTATTTTTTTTTTTATTTCTTTATTTTTTGATATTGATGATTGAACACAGAAACACTTTGTCACTGAGCCACATCCCCAGCCCTTTTTATTTTTTGAGACAGGGTCTTGCTAAGTTGCTTAGAGCCTTGTTGAGTAAGTTGCTGAGGGTCCTAACTTGCACTTCTGCGTCTCAGCCTTCTGAGTTGCTGGGATTACAGGTGTGCACCACTGTACCTGGCTTAATTTTGCTGGGTTCCTTTAGGGGCTTTCCATGACTTTAGAGAGGGACACATTTTCCTTCAGCTCTCTCTAGTTTAGAATAGTAATAGAATTAAAGTGATTTGAATAGGAAAAGAAGAGCTCAAACAATCCCTATTTGCTGACTACATATATTTAGAAGACCTAAAAAACTCCACTAGAAAGCTTCTAGAACTCATAAATGAATTCTGTGAAGTAGCAGGATATAAAATTAACACCCATAAATCAGTTGATTCCCTGTGCATCAATGACGAATCAGCTGAAAGAGAAATCAGGAAAACTATCCCATTCACAATAGCCTCAACTCTGCGCCTACTAGAGGAAGAAGAAAAAAATATTTGGGAATCAATCTAACAAAAGAGGTGAAAGGCTTCTATAGTGAAAACTAGAGAACATTAAAGAAAGAAATTGAAAAAAGACCTTAGAAGATGGGAAGACCTTCCATGTTCCTGAATAGCCAGAATTAATATTGTCAAAATGGCTATACTACCAAAAGTGCTATACAGATTAAATGCAATTCCTATTGAAATTCCAATGATGTTCTTCATAGAAATATAAAAAGTAGTCATGAAATTCATTTGGAAATGTAAGAGGCCCAGAATTGCCAAAGCACCCTTAGCAAGAAAAGTGATGCAGGAGGCATCACAATACCAGACCTTAAATTATACTATAGAGGGATAGTTACAAAAACGGCATGGTATTGGCACAAAAACAAACATGAAGACCAGTGGAACAGATTAGAAGACACAGAAACAAACCTACGTAAATTCATTCATCTCATACTAGACAAAGGTGCCATAAACATACATGGAGAAAAGATAGCCTCTTCAACAGATGATGCTGGGAAATCTGGAAATCTATGTGTCGTAGAATGAAATTGAACCTCTATCTCACACTTCACAAAAATTAATATTTTCAGCTGTAAATGGACAAGATATCTTTTGATATCAAAATGGGATCAGGACTAGAGGAAGAAGTAGGCCCAACTCTCCACCATGTCAGCTTAGGAACTGACTTATTCAATAAGATTTTTTTAAAAAAAATTTTTTTAGTTGTAGATGGACACAGTACTTTTATTTATTTTTATGTGGTGCTGAGGATCGAACCCAGTGCCTCATGCGTGCAAGGCAGGTGCTCTACCACTGAGCCACAACCCCAGCCCTTCAATAAGATTTTTTAAAAATATTTTTTTTTTTTAGATGTAACTGGACACAATATCTTTATTTATTTTTATGTGATGATGAGGATCGAACCCAGTGCCTTATGTGTGCAAGGCAGATGCTCTACCACTGAGCCACAACCCCAGTCCTTCAATAAGATTTTTAAAGTGCAAGAAGTAAAATCAAGAATAAATAGATGGGCCTACTTACTGAGCCGCCACCGAAGTCTCAGCAGCCTCCCCCTGGAGCATCCTCACTTCCCGACACCCGTTCCCCACTCCTGGAACCACCTTCTGTAGCCATTTCTGCCAAGGAAAAGGAATTGTATCGCATGTCTGCTATTCAGAACCTCCATTCTTTCCCCTCTGCTGATGCAAGTAAGGGTGATGACCTGCTTCCTGCTGGCACTGAGGATTTATTATCCATTTAAGAATTCAACAGAGAAATGGCAGGAAGAACCTTACTACAGTTCAAGGGATCACTGATGATTATGATAGAAAGAAACTAGTGAAGGCATTTAGGAAGAAATTTGCCTGCAATGGTACTGTAATTGAGCATCCAGAATACAGAGAAGTAATTCAGCTACAGGGTGACCAGCGCAAGAACATATGCCAGTTCCCAGTATTGATTGGACTGGCTAAGGACAATCAGCTGAAGGTTCATGGGTTTTAAGTACTTGTGGCTCACTGAAGCTTAAGTGAGGATTTCCTTACAATGAGTAGAATTGCCCTTCTGTCCCTTGTCACAAGTTTAAAAACCTCACAGCTTGTATAATGTAACCAGTGGGGTCTGTTTTTAACTTGGACTAGTGTAACTCCTTCATGCAATAAACTGAAAAGAGCCCCCCAAAAAGAATAAATAAATGGGATTGTATCAGATTAAAAAGCTTTCTTTAAAAAAATATTTATTGGGGTCCCCTAAAAAGCTTTTCCTTTTCCTTTTTTTTTTTTTTTTAAGTTGTACATGAACATGAAATATTTTATTTATTTTTATGTGGTGCTGAGGATCGAACCCAGTGCCTCACACATGTGAGGCAAGTGTTGTACCACTGAGCTACAACCCCAGCCCCCTAAAAAGTTTTTCATAGTAGCCGGGTACAGTGGTGCATGCCTGTAATCCCAGTGGCTCAGGAGGCTGAGACTGGAGGATTGGGAGTTCAAAGCCAGCCTCAGCAATGGCGAAGTGCTAAGCAACTCAGTGAGACCCTGTCTGTAAGTAAAATATAAAATAGAGCTGGGGATGTGGCTAAGTGGTCAAGTGCCCCTAAGTTCAGTCCCTAGTCCCTGCCCCCAGCCCCACCCCACCCCCCAAAAAAGCTTTTTCATAGCAAAGGAAACAATCAGGAACATGAACAGAAATCTTACAGAATGGGAGAAAATCTTTATCACCAGCACCTCAGTCAGAGCATGAATATCCAGGATCTACAATGAACTTAAAAAACTTAATACCAAAAATAAATAAATAAATAATCCTATCAATAAATGGGCCAAGGAACTGAACAGGCATTTCATAGAAGAAGAAATACGAATGGTCGGAAGATTTATGAAAAAATGTTCAACATCTCTGGCAATTAGAGAAGTGCAAATCAAAACTACACTGAGATTTCATCCATCTCACCCCAGTCAGAATGGCAATTATCAAGAATACAAGCAGTAATAAGTGTTGAAGAGGATGTGGGGAAAGAGGTTCACTTATACATTTCTGATGGGAATGCAAAGTGGTACAACCTCTCTGGAAAGCAGTATGGAGATTCCTTAGAAAACTTAGAGTGTAATCACCATTTGGCCCAGTTATCCTACTCCTTGGTTTATACTCAAAGGACTTAAAATCAGCATATTATAGTGACTCAGCCACTTAAGTGTTTATAGCAGCTCAATTCATAATAACCAAGCTATGGAACCAACCTAGGTGCCCTTCAATAGATGAGTGGATAAAGAAAATGTGGTGTATATACACAATGGAATATTACTCAGCCTTAAAGAAGAATGGAATTATAGCATTTGCCAGTAAATGGATGGAACTAGGGAGTATTATGCTAAGTGAAATAGGCCAGTCCCAAAGAAACCAAAGGCAGAACATTCTCTCTGATATGGATGCTAACCCACAACAGGAGAGAAGATTAGAAGTTAATTGGACCAGACAAAGGGGAATGAAGGGAAGGGAGGGGGATGGTAATAGGAAAGATAGTAGAATGAATCAACATATCTTTCTTATCCTCATATATAAATATACAATCAATGTAACCACATTGTGTACAACCACAATAATGGATCTAATTAGAACAAGTTATACTTATTCAATTTATGTATAATATTTCAAATATACTATTATACAAAAAAAAGACGTTCAAAAGGTGATTATTTGTATATATAAATATAAATAAAAAAGAAGAGTAATGGAAAAGAGATTTAATACCTCCAGTCTCAAAATGTACCCCTTTTAAGCAGGGTAAAGGGCTTAATTCAGTAATTGGTTAAGTCAGAATTCCCAGTAAGCAAGCATTCCATGTGCCACAGGTTTGTTGTAGGTGGGTTAAAGGTATGTCAAAACATTGATTCCTTGGGACCACATGTGAACAGCTTCACCTTTATATTCTACTGTGCTAAGTACTCTTCTGTGTGTATCTTGATGTGAAAAATGTTGGAAGCACTGTGGTAGACAAATGGTTGGGATAGAGGTCTGTAACTTCATTAGGGACTAGACAGTTGGAGTTAATACAAAGAAGTGCAGAATTTTAGGGCTTAGTTGGATCTCAAGCTGGAAAGAACTAATTTTTATATTATTCCAAGTGATGGAATAGATTGGAAGTAATAGTGGGTTTAATATAGTTGGTTCATTGGGAACAAACCCACCTTCTGAACAGTAGAGAATTGATGAAGTGAACTATAGTATCAGCCTAAGGGAATACTGCTTAACCATGTATAATTAAGTTTATGGATTTGGCATTATGTGAAATAACATGCACTGATTTCATCTAGGCAAAAGCACATCCATTAATGACAAGTGTTTGAGATGGAAATAAAGGAATTGGGTTTTTTTTTTTTTTTGCCCCTTATGAAAGCTTCCTTAGCTTTTCTAAGTTTGATTTTTTTTTTAATACTATCTTGAAGTAGTTAATGTTATTTCTTTGCAAACATAGTGGATGTTCCTAAAACCTGTTGGATATTCTGAAAGAAGTGTGACAAACAACCCATAAAGTGACACAGTACAAGAAGGGCAAGGATTCTCTGTATGCACAGGGAAAGTGATGTTATGACAGGAAACATAGTGACTGTGATGGGAAGACTAAGCAGATTTTCCATGAAAAGGCTAAAAATAAAGAGGGTGCTGAGGCTTAGGTGTGTGTTGAGCTTAACTGCAGATCTAAGAGAATGCTGGCTATTAAGAGATCTAAGCATTTTGAACTGGGAAATGATAAGAGAAAGTGACCCAGTGCTGTTTCATTTTGTTTTATTATGAAGATAATAAATTGTTGATGTTTTGTTCACAATAACAGTTATTCAGTTACCTAGGTGTGTTTTGGTCAACTCTCTGACCCTGTGTAGGTGATGTCATGGAGGGTAAATGACTTTTGCCAATGGCTCTAAAAGAAAGCAGAACTAGGATGGTGGTAGGCAAGGGAGAAAGATGGTGCACTTTATCTTTTTAGGATCCACATTGAGTTGGATCTCTAACTCCTTTGGGAATTTAATATGAGGTTGAGCTGAGAGACTAGAAACAGCTTGGGTTCTAATCCCAGCTTTCACTTGTTGATTGTAACTTTAAGCAGGTTCTTTATCATTGCTTTTACCAGGAATTGAACCCAGGGGCACTTAACCACTGAGCACATCCCCAGCCCTTTTTATTTATTTTGAAACAGAGTTTCGCTAAGTTACTGAGGCTGGCCTCAAACTTGTGATCTGCCTGGCTCTTTAGTGTCTCTCTCTCCCCCTCTCTCCCTCTCTCTCTCTAATTTTTTTTTTAATATTTATCTTTTAGTTGTAGTTGGACACAATACTTTTATTTTTTATTTATTTTTATGTGGTGCTGAGGATTGAACCCAGGGCCCTGCACCTGCTAGGCGAGCGTGCTACCACTGAGCCCCAGCCCCAGCCCTAGCCCTCTTTAGTCTCTCTTGACCTTATCAATAGGTTGATACAGCTAATCTTTTATAGTTTTTTTATTTTGTTTGGATCTTATTTCTTTTTTCTTCAATGCCCAGGTATTATCCATGCAGCAGAGGAGAAGGACTGGAAAACTGCATACTCATACTTTTATGAGGCATTTGAGGGTTATGACTCCATCGATAGCCCCAAGGCCATCACATCTTTGAAGTACATGTTGCTGTGCAAAATCATGCTCAACACGTAGGTGCACATTAACTCTGGAATATAAGAACTGTAGTCCTTCAGCCAAGTTTGTCTACTGTGACAAATGACTTGGGCAGGGAGTTTAGCCAGTTATATATGTGGTAGCACCTGTAGCCTCCGAGGCTGGTTGAGGTAGAGTGGGAGGATCAGAGCTGTTCTAGAGCACTTTGCTTGCTAGTCTTTCAGACTCAGGAGACAGATTGTAGGAATCCCTTTCCTATCTCCTCTTGGAGAAGTCTCCTTATCCTTCAGAGACTCTGTCCTCATTGGTGCTTAACCATAGGACTAAAAGTAACTAACAGACTATGCCAAACAAACTGGGTTACCCAGAATATGAAGGATAGGGTAAGAGACATTTGAAAGACAGGACAACAATAAGTATGACATCTTTTTTTAAAAAAATTATCCTAATTTTATTGGGAATTAATAAAATATTGGCTGGGATTCTGGATCTTTGGATTACATATGGGTTGTATTTTGGTAAGACCTGTTATACTGGAATTTGACTTATACTTCCTGTTCTACCTGTTTGGCCTATTGTTTTTGGTAGGTTCAATTGGGCTTCCTTTTTAGTGTTGGAATTTTTCTATTTTTCATTACTGACCTTTAGCCCAGAAAGAAGAAAGCCTAGCTTCTGTAATGTGAGGAATATATAGGTTTTAGGGGTTGGGGCTGATTTTTTTCTTTGGGCGGTCTTTTTTTTTTTTAATATCTTTGTTTATTAATTTATTTTTTATGTGGTGCTAAGGATCAAATCAATGCCTCACACATGCTAGGCAAGCGCTCAGCCACTGAGCTATAGCCCCAGCCCTTCTTTGGGCAGTCTTTATAGTGGAAGTTCACTGAAACCTGTTCTTAGAATCATAACATCCTGGAGCAGTTGACCAAGTATATCTTTTTTTTTCTAGCCCAGAAGATGTCCAGGCTTTGGTGAGCGGGAAACTTGCACTTCGGTATGCAGGGAGGCAGGTAGGAAATGTATTGACTGCAGTTCTACTTCATATGAGACCAGCATGTTGTCAGATTCATGATGTTTGGTGAGACCAGAGCTCTTCAGGTCTCCATTTTGCTCTTTCCTCTTCCCCACCTGTTTCCTTCCCTGAAGCCCATTTAGTGTTTTTCCTATACTGTTGGATTCTTGACCCACAAAGTCGGTATTTGGTGCTTTTACAGACATAAGGTGGTTTAAGGTAGTTACAGAACTGAACTGTAGCATTCACAGATGCTACAGTGAGTTAGGTTGCATTTAACATTGATCTGTCTCATGAGCCTGCAGATTTAACGTGCAGAATATATGACCTGTTGGATTCTCTGAGTCAGGAGTGTGGTTAGGTCTGGAACATGTGTGCTTTAGGGAGGTCTGATTATTTGTTGTAAAAACTAGATTTTGAGACCCATACTATTCAATTCAAGCCTTGAGTTTTAAGTGTGATGCAAAAAGGACCTTTGATTGTTGGTAGCCCTTCTGTTTGTTTTTGGTAGTAGGCATTGAACCCAGGGTTGCTTTACCACTGAGCTACACTCCAGCCCTTTTTAGTTTTTTAAAAAATTTTTGAGTTAGGGTCTCACAAAATTGCCAAGCTTAGCCTCGGATTTGTGATCCTCCTGTCTCAGCCTCCTGATTTGCTGAGATTACAAACATTCACCCCCATGCCTGGTTGAATATAAGTTCTGAGAGCAAGCAATTTTCACCTTTGTGAAGATGATATCTAAGATTTGTTATACCCATTTTTGCTCAATTATCACTAGTTAAATAAAAGTAATCTTTTGGATTTCAAATGGATTTGTTTCTGAACAACAGATTGGCCATCTCACTACATCTCTGGAGGAATGACCACAACAGATGATTTCTTTTTTTGACAAGTGACCCTAATTGGTTTTGTATTAACAAAAGTTTCAGGTTAGTTCCTATTTTGGGTCTCAAGAATACTGGTTATCACTATAGTGAAAGATGTACTTTCCTAAGGACTACAGTTGAGATAGGCTCAGATAGGTCGTGTGTTCAGGATAAGATTAGATAGCTAATAAAAGGTGGAGCCAGACTTTGAACTTGGGTTATCTGGCTCTAAATTCCAGGCTTTCCTCATGATGACATTTGTTCTGTCTACAAAACAGATGCTGGAGATAAACTGTTCTTGATAGCCTTGTACCACTTAGTCTGCTATATAAGGCATCCCTATTTAAGTATGTAAGCTGACACAGGGGAGCTCCTTCTGTCTCTTTGAGCCTTGATGACAACTTTCAACCAGGAGTCGGGCTGATCTAGAAAGATGGGTATTTCTAATTTCTTGCTAAGTGGACTTAATAGCTTGGACTATAATTTTATAATTAGGTTAAAAATTGCCCTTAGTGGGCTGGGAATATAGCTCAATGGCCGAGTCCTTGCTGAGCATGCCCCAAGCCCTGGATTTCATCTCCAGTAATACTCCCCACTCCCTAAAAAACGTTGCCCTTAGCCATTGAATGTATCTCTAATACTCTCTCTATAATTTTTTTAAGTTATAGATGGACAAAATACCTTTATTTTATTTATTTTTATGTGGTGCTAAGGATCGAACCCAATGCCTCACATGTGCTAGGCAAGTGCTCTGTCACTGAGCTACAGCCTCAGCCCCCTTTGTAGGGTTTTAATGTTCAAGTATAATATGTAGAATATATTAATACCTTAATCCTAATAAAATAGACCTCATTCAGTGCCTTGTATCAAACTTGGTAGAATGGATCTTAGAGGAAGGGGAAAGAAATCACAGTTCTGTCATTTTTCCCTTTCAGCTTGTCATATCTGGAGAATTCTGTATCAAGGTCTTTTTGGGAGACTTCTAAGTCACTTGAGATTTCAAAAGGAAAATGGTTGGCATACAGTGATATTTAATCCTTTTAGCTTTTCAGCCCAGGCCTCTGATAAAGAATCCTTATAGCACAAGTTCTGTGGATATAAACATATTATCTCTGAGACTTTTTTGGGTGTATGTAAACATGCAAAATAGATCATTTTTATGATTTATCTCTTTATTCTCAGACAGAAGCATTAAAATGTGTGGCTCAGGCTAGCAAGAACAGATCGCTGGCAGATTTTGAAAAGGTGAGCATGGTATTGGGTTGGTAGGGAATGGGGTGGAAGACCATTTAAAAACTTTTTAAAAATAGATTTATAAGAAGTTGCAAAGATAGCATCAAGTGATCCCATGTGCCCTTAGTACAATTTCAAATCCAGGAAATAGTTAAGCACTTTTGTACAATTAAACTTGTTATGTTGATTTAGATTATATATCATATGTAATACTTCTTAGTTTCAAAAAGTTCTCTCTGTCATCCTTATTTACAGCAAAGCTCTTATCTTCATTTTGTGGTTGAGGGAATCAGGAGGATGCCCCAAGTCACACAGTTATATGTATCATGGTTTGACTCCAAGTCTAGTGCTTATCTCACACAATATAATCATAGGTATTCCTTCAGCTCCAGAAATGTCAGGTCTGCTTCTTTGTGATCAAAAGAGAAGTTTTATGTGCACATTTGGCCCTAAAGAAACTTCCTCAGGATGATAAAACTGTAAAGAAGAGAAACTTCCTCAGGATGATGTTCTAGATTTTGACTTATGTGTTAGTCAAGTTTTCATCGCTGTGACCAAAATACCCCGCAAGAATAATTTAGAGGGGGAAAACTTTATTTTGGTTCATGGGATGACCTCTTGCTCTGGGCCTAAGGTGAGGCACAACAACATGGCAGAATGGTGTGGTAGAGGAACACTATTTCACTCATGGTAGCCAAGAAACAGAGCACTACTCCCTTACATAGGGAAATGAACCCTTCTAGGACATGCCCCCAATAACTTTCATTCCTTCATTACCACAAGAGCTTTTGGGGGATACTTCATAATCATACCATAACAACTCCTATGCCATTTGCTTATTGGGAAGTTTCAAAAGGAGAGACACTTGTCTTAGGTATATATATTCTTTGTGTGATTAGAGTGACCAACTTAAAAACAGAACCTAGATCCAGCTAGATGTGGGGCACATACCTGTAATCCCAGCAACTCAAAGAGGCTGAGGCAGGAGGATCACAAGTTCAAGACCAGCCTCAGCAATTTAGAGAGGCCCTAAACAACTTAGACCCTGTCTCAAAATACAAAGGAGTGAGGATGTAGCTTAGTGATAAAGTGCCCTTGGGTTTAATCCCCAGTTCCTACCCCTAAAACAAAAACTAAAAACCCTCCTAGAACCAGAATGAAAAAAAAAAAACATGTAGATGGATACTAGGCCATGTGGCCTGGATTATCCCCAAGACTCATCATTTTCCTGAGGACTCTTGCTGATTCTTGCCATCTCTTACTTGGTATGATTTGCCTGCTTTTTAAAACATCTTATAGTACAGTGGACATGAGACTTGGATAGTGAAACCATTGCTAAAGGTACATATGTTATGTACATGAATAAATAGTTTGTCATTTTACCCCCAGCTTTGGATCTTACATGGAACACCTTTATTCCAAGTGATTCCTTGGGAAAAGGGTCCTGTGATCAGATATTTGGGAAATATCAGGATTAAACAAAATCGGTTAGGTTTTCTGTTTTAACAGCAGAGCTGTACTATACTGATATTCCTCACAAAACTCCCAAGATCTTGTTGTGCAATTTAGCGTTTCTCATTTAAACTCAGAATTATTTGAAATAAATGCTGAAAAATGCTTATATAGTTGATTTGGCTTACAAGTGAAACTGCTCCTAGGGCTTACATGATTTGAACTGGTGACATGAAGGTTTTAGATAGAAAGATTGTGACTTCACCTTTTTGTTTGACATTCCTTTTTTTCTGCTTTGTTAATGGCTTTTCTTTGATCTCAAAACTCCCAGAACTTCATTCAACCATGTAGTTAGAACGGCTAGTCAGCTACTCAGGAAGTTAGGAGGAGTGTGACTTTAAAGTTCTTCTCTGTGCCAATCTCTGTGCTGGCTCTTTGGACAGGCCCTGACAGATTACCGGGCAGAGCTCCGGGATGACCCAATCATCAGCACACACTTGGCCAAGTTGTATGATAACTTACTGGAGCAGAATCTGATCCGAGTCATTGAACCTTTTTCTCGAGTACAGGTAAGAACCATCCTGGGGATTCTGTCTGGTTTTGGCCATACATTCCCACTGTAGCCACCTCCCTGTTCACATCTGTACAAAATAGGAGCTCACTTCCAAGGTTATGCCTGGTGAGCAAGAGGCCACCAAGAGCTCAGTTTATCTTGATGGGAAATGAGTGGAGGAGGAGTAGAGACTTGTGAGATGGCACCTGCTTGTGCCCTGAGTACAGTTTCTTTCTTGATTTTGTAGTCATTGTGCATGTGGTACTCATTTTCTGTATTGGGTATGTGGGACAGGAGTGGGTTTATTATCTGTAATGGTAACATCAGGCAAATGGACAGCATAAGGGAAGCTAAGCATGGCTAGGGAAAATTTTTAGAGACATTCAACAGGTTCAAAAGACACAGCAATTTCCTGTCCCCTGCTTCTCATATTGGAGGCAAAAGTAAAACTTTCAGTGTTGTGTCTCTCTGCCTTTCCTTTTAGATTGAACACATATCTAGCCTCATCAAACTCTCTAAGGTAAGGAGTTCAGAGGCCTTCTGGTGGGTAGGGATGGGAAAGAGGTGGTGTAGAATGGATAGCATTTGTACCTGATGGGCCTTATTGGAAAGCTCCTAAGCTTCCCGGGGAATGGGAAATGTCAGAGCTGAAGTTGCATTGTTGCTGTTTGGTTTTCAATCCATTTGCCCTAAGATCTTTTCTACAAAGCTTTCATATCAGGGTGATGTGGTCCCTTTAATCATGTGCTTTGATTTTAGGCCGATGTGGAAAGAAAATTATCACAGATGATTCTTGACAAGAAGTTTCATGGTGAGTAACAGTCACACAGGCAAGGGGACTACTGGTGATAAAGATGGTTTAAGAGGCATTTATTTGTTTATTTATTTGTGGTGCCGGGGGTTGAACCCAGGAGCGCTTAACCACTGAGCTACATCCCCAGCCCTTTTTTATATTTTATTTTGAAACTGGATCTTGCTAAGTTGTTTAGGGCCTCTCTAAGTTGCTGAGGCTGGCTTTGAACTTGAGATCCTTCTGCTTCAGCCTTCTAAGCTGCTGGGATTACAGGCATATACCACCGTGCCTGACAAGAGGTTTATTTTTAAAGAAATTGTTTGGTTCTCTGGGATCCTGGTCCCTGTTCCCTGTGTTAAGTGTGTAATAACATGCAAATGGAACAGGAAGATGAGTTCTATTCCCTTTTTCTGGAGAAAATGAGGCAACTAGGGATCAGGCTGCTTTAAAATTGTTTTTATGTCTAATCTATTCTTTTACTTGGGTTGCCCTTGTGTTTCCTGCAGGGATTTTGGACCAAGGGGAGGGTGTCCTGATTATTTTCGATGAACCCCCAGTAGATAAAACTTATGAAGCTGCTCTGGAAACAATTCAGAACATGAGTAAAGTAGTGGATTCCCTCTACAACAAAGCCAAGAAACTGACATAGGTGAGTGCCTGCCCTGGACCCAGGGCTGGGCAGCGCTGTCTTCTGCCTGTTGGGACTGAAAACCTCCTCCTGGTGTCCTTGTGGCTTCCTGATTGACACTGCTCTGTCTTCTCTTGCAGAATTGGATCTGTAGCGGTCCTTTGGAGAGTGTGTGTGGCGGGAGAGTGAAACCTTGGGGCAAAATGCTAGGAGATTTCTTTTTTCTTTTTGTTCTACTTTTCGCTCGGAAAGTTTTTAAATCCTCATTTGGTGCATCTGTATTCCAACCCATAGGTGTGCCAGTTTTCATGTAATCTTTACTGGCCCAACTTGGGAGTGGGAAATTGCTTTAAAAAAAAAAAAAAAGAAAGAAAAAAAAGATTATTCTAAATAAAAGGAAAAAGGCTTACACTACCTAAAGCTGTGCTCTCTGCCTCCTGGGAGAGGGCCGCAAAGCCAGACACCCCGCCAACCACTGGGGGCCCTAATCTACCCGCTGGGCGTCACCTCTCCTCTTCTTCAGAATTGGGTGTTTGCTGACCATCAAAAGCAATGACTTTTTATTCTGTTTGTACTGAACCAAAACAAACAACTGTGTATAGACTGCTATTTTCTTTTTTATTTGAAATGAGGCGTTTCGATGTTCTTTCCCTTGCCATTTGGCCTGTCCATCCTTCCTTTCCTGATATTGGCTCCAGCAGACTAGCCGAAGGTCCTTCCACTACCGCCACTGCCGCCGCCGCCGCCGCCGCCGCCGCAGCAGCAGCACCTACAAGGCTCCGCTCTGACCTGTGAAAGGAATGGGGACAAGGCCAGGAGCTAGTGTCCACCACGGCCACACAGGGAGCAGCGTGGGCCCTCAGCCCCCAGGGGACCTGCTGTGCATGTGGCTTTTTTTAACACAGTAATTAGATTAGATGTCAGTGTTTTAACTGCCCCTCTTCTCTGTCCTCTACTCTTCTTTCTCTTCTCTTTCCCCTTTCTCAATCAGGAGACCACTTTTTCCTTCCCTCTCCTACTCCTCCTCTCCTGCTGTCAGATGGATTTATTCCTTTTTAAAACAGTGAACATCGGAAATGAGACTGTGGGCTGTTTTTGTTTTATTTTGTTTTTTTAATTTTCTCTGTTGGGTTTTCAAGCAACCTCATGTCTCCTTTCCAGGGAGCGTCTTTATTTACCTCTTAGAACTCGAATGGATGGGCGGTAGAGCACTGTATTTCAGCATGCTTTGTTTTCTGATATGATTACATAGCAAGGCTTTAATGCCATTTGGGCAGGTAAGCTTCAGCACCTTGTCGCTGTGCTCAACAATATTTTCTTCTCTCATCTTCTCTTTTTTCTTCTCCCCCTCTTCCTGTCTCCTTCCTGCTGGCCTCCTTTTCTCTTTCTTTACCTTTCTCAGATTATCCTTCCAGGTTTTCGTAATAAATTTATATTTTGTAAAAGGATTTTGTTGTACCAGGTTTTGCATCTTCACTGAATCTGACTGGCTTTTATTTTCCTCTCTGAAATCAGGTTTTTGTTCTTAACATCTTCTCTCCCCATCATGTCCAGTCACTGTTTTGGTTTTGGCACCATCAATATCCAATGTACAAACGGTTCTTGCTAACCAACACCGGGTATATCTGATGTTCAGATGAGTTCCAATAAAATAATTTTTTTTTCAAAAGGTGTCATTTCTTGAGTACTGGAGGTTTTCTGAGCAAGTTCAAACAGCTCTGTGTAGCTCAGCAATAGTCTAGCCCTCTAGATTAGCCAAAGCTCCATTATCTCATTTGCTTATATTAATGTTAGTAGTCCTTTAGCCGAATCTGTAGTCCACTTTGGAGGGCTTTCGGCAGGAGACTTGATCTGTGATGGCTAAAAGCAGAAATGGAGTTCAGGTATGTTTTTCTAAGGCAGCATGATCCAGCAAGAACACCTGGATTCTGTCAGTAAGATCCTCCAAGGTTGATGCTTCTATGGTAGGTGATTGTGATACAAGAGGTCATATGAAGTAATGGAAATGCAAGTGTGTAGAGGGTTCTCACATTCAGCTGTGGTTTAGTTTCCTTTTAGAATCTTCAGAAGCAGTGGTTTTCATGATGTTCTCAGACCCTGGGAACGATTCTGAGGGATTTGCCGACTCTTCTCCAGTTTGAGCATTTTGGTATTCTCAGTTTTAATATTGTATTTCTGTGCATAATTTTACTTGCATAGAGGTTTGTTTCTATAAAAGACTTTAAAATAAATATTCCATAGAGTTCCTAGTACTGGAACAGAGGGGAAAGGGTTTCCCAAACTTAGGGGATCCCCTCCCCAAGAGGCTCAGGGCAGCAGCCCTTTTCTCCGCTTCCCTGCTCAGTCTGGTGACTTCCTCTAGACCTGCGCTGTCCAATGAGTAGCTGCTAGCCACATGCAGCTGTTGAGTACTTATAGTGTGGCTAGTTTTGAACTGTTAATGTGCTGCAAATGTAGAAAAACAGATTTTGAAGGATAAGAGTGAAAAAATGTAAAATATCTCAAGTTTTTTAAAGTGTATGTTGAAATATTTTGGGTATATTGGGTTAAATAAAATATTATTACAAATCACCTGTTTCTTTTTACTTTTTTAATGTGGCTACTGGAAAGTATCAAATTATCTATGTGGCTTGCCATTGTGACGCATGTTATACTTTAGTTGGACAGCGCTGTTCTAGACCATCAAGGACCAGCAGTTGTGCCACTATTTTCCCTCCCAGCCCTCATGTGAGCTAGTTTAGGCATAACTGAGAAGGTCATCTGCTCCATGGGCTGGTCTGGGCTGGGCTTTCTCACCAAGGGTCCCAGGCACCAGTCTTCACAGTGCCAGGACTTTCTTGGTTGTTAAGGAGTCACTGCTGGTGTTAGAAGCAGAGGCTAAGGTGTCTGCACTGCTCTAGTGCCCTGCTGTGCATTGAATTATGTAATCTGTGCTGCCCAGAAGGACCACTAGATGCTGCTCTGTGATCCCTAAAGAACAAAGACTTCCTCAGGAACCAGGGCTCAGCCCAGCTTTATATGGAACCCTTTCTGGAAGCTGTAGCTGGCTGCTGCTTGGCCTCCCTTCTTCAGGCTCTCATGGAAAGTGGAATATGCAAAACAGGGAACTGGCATCATAGTCCAGCAAGGCAGCTAACAAAATTGTTGGCCCTTCAGGTAACTAGAGATAGGCTGTAGGATAAGTAGGCTGGTTGACAAGGGTGCTAACTGGACATCTTCCCACAGTTGTATGATGAAGAGGACTGGGAAGAAAATCCTACGTCTTGCCTTTTGGGTCCTTGCTTTCTGCCATTTGGGGCAGATTGTTGTCCTCCTTTTCTTCCTGATGGAAGCTGGGGTGGGGGAGCTGTGTGATGCCTTGAAACAGGCAGGGCTGGGGTGGGTGGGGACAGCCTCTTCCCTCAGCAGCAGGTAGGCTGGCAGTGCCATCCCATACCTGCTCTGCTGCAAATAAAGATTTTGCTTCTGACCAATGTAAGAAAGGTTGGGATAGTTCTGTGGAGGCTCTTTGAGGTGATAATGAAGGCCTAACTTGAAAAAGGCAAGAGATAACACAAGTATAGCCAGGCTGGCAAAGACCCAAGCAAATGTTGCTCTGTTTGGGGAAGCAGGGTGGTCAAATTTGGTATTGCCAACTAGGAATTGGAATAGCTAGTATTGAAATGCAGTTTCTAAGGGGTGGATTACAGGCTTGGAAATCTGGTTATAATTTAGGAAATTAAAAGCATTTAACCCTTGCTTAACATTGGCATCAGAAGGGAGCTTAAGACAATGGACACAAGGCCAACCTAGGAGCTGAGCCTCTAGTAGGGGCCTGGGTTCATCTTTTCTTTATAAAGGAAGAGAGACGTTTGACCAGAGGACCTGAAGGACCCAGAAATTACTTCTCACTTCTTATTATTAGGGGAAGGGGGAACACAGATAGCTTTATCTGAAGAGTGGGTAGGTTGCTGAAGTGGTTTGAACATGGTTTGTCCCTTCGAATTCCCAGGGCTTAGTCGTGACCTTATGACTTTTAGAGGTGGTAGGACCTTTAAGACAAAATCCTGGAGGCTCCACCCTCATGATGGGCTTAATGGAGTTCCTTTGAGAAAGTGGGTGGTTATTGGAAGCAGGTCAGCCTTGCACCTGTGCTTACTCACCCACACTGCTTACTTGGGCTTCCCATTGGCGAAGCCCTTACCTGGGCATATTGTGCTGCAGGAGCTTGGCGGTCCAACCTCCAGAACTGTGAGCTGCAGCCACCTATTTTCTTTGTAGATTATTCATTGTCATGTATTATGTTTAGAAAACGGGTAAGATGTGTAGCTTGAGGGATGTTCAAAACATCCCTCAAAGTGCCTGCCTTCCTCAAAGTGATGAGAACTGCTGTTGTGGACTTTTATATTATTTAGTACAGAGCAGTTTTGCACTGTGTGGTCACCAAGGACCCTAAAGCTTTCAGTTGCCACTATTGACAATAATCTGGGTAGTACATAAGCTCTTAGATTTTTTTAAATTTTTTTTAATATATTTTATTTTTTAGTTATTGGTGGACACAACATCTTTGTATGTGGTGCTGAGGCTCGAACCCGGGCCACATGCATGCCAGGAGAGCACGCTACCGCTTGAGCCACATCCCCAGCCCCAACATAAGCTCTTAGAACTTTGTGACTTGGCAGCATTCATCTGGATGATATGAGATCCCCTTCTCTGTCGCCCTAGGGCAGTTGGCAGAGTGTGCAAATGGTCAGTAATGGGATATTGATAGCCTCTTCTTGGGAAGCTTCCTCATCTCCAGGTCCAGATATGGTAATCTGAATTAAGAATCAGGTTTATAATCAGGTTTGCATCAGTCTCCAGAACCATACACAAATGAACCAGCAATAAATGAACAGTAGCTTTTGCGAAGGATTTGGTTTTATTTCTGAAGCAACTCTTACCCGGACCAGAATTTTGCTCAGTTTTACAACTACTACTGTGAAGTTTTCAAGTTACATTTAGAAGACATTTAAATCAGGATCAGGGGCTCCTTGGAGGCGCCGCTGCCTTAGTATTTACCATAATAGATGGGTTTAGGTCCAGCCTGTCGGTTGGTGCAGTGGTCCAGAACGGTCCTCGCCTTTCTGGCCTGGGTTTGGGATCTATCTAGTGGCGGGCGTTTACAAGGATGAAGGCATACATGTGCGTGACACTAGGGCGGCCTCTAGTAAGGACTGTGCCCTCCCCGCTTAGTGGAGGACTTTTCATGCCCAGGGGGCGATGGTCTGCGTCCAGCGGCCGCGCGATGCCAGGGCTGGCGGCTGCAGATCGCCCTGGCTGCCGGCAGCTGCGGGCTGCGCGGCGGGAACAAAGGCAGCACGTGGCGGGGCGGGGCCGACATCGGCCCCGCCCTCCCTCGGCGCGCCCCACCCGCGAGCCCGGCAGGCTGCGCGGGAGCCTGGGACTCACGCGGCCGCGCTGCTGCCGGCGAGCTGTGCGGGAGGGGGCGGCACCAAAGGGCCGGGGCGGGGCGGGCGCCGGGTGTCCCCGCTGCCGCCCGAGCTGGCTCTTAGATGGGGCGCGGTGAGTAGAAGCGCATCCCGCTCGCTGTCGCATCTGCCGCACCGTGAGCGGCTCGGGTCGAGGACCCTGGCGGCCGCGGTTCCGCGACGCGACCAGGCCCGCCAGAGCCGACTCGTGGACGGCGCGCGCTCCCGAGGAGACTGTTGAGGCGCGCGCCGGGGGCGGGGGCGGTAACGCGGCGGCGAAGGCGAGGGCAGCCGAGTGGGGGGCGGGGCCGCGACGTCTGCAGAACCTTGGACAGAAGCTCCGGAGCTGCTGCCGCCGCCGCCGAGCGCGAGCCCCGCGGAGCCCCGCCGAGCGCCGGGACTGCGGCGGCTGAGCCGCGGCGCGCATTGCGGAGGGCTCGGAGCACTGGAGCCGCCGCCTGCCTGGTAAGCCTGCGCTGGGAGGTCGTCCGCTGTCCGGCAGAACCGGGTCCCGGCCGCGCGAGGTGGGGAGGCGGGGGTCCGCGGCCGCCTCCGTGGGCGACCAGCCTCCTCCCTGCTGCGCCTCCAGACCGCGGTAGCGGCGGGCGGGGGTGCTGCAGTGGAGGCGGCGCGGGGGCGCGGGCGGGGCCGCGGAGCTCGAGGAGGCTCGGGCGAGGGTCTGGAGGTAAGCCCGCGGGCGCCGCGAGGCGCGGGGCAGAGGGGGCGCAACGCGGAGCACCTCTTGGTGTTGAGAACCATCTTGTTTTCCACGCAGATCTGGAGGGGCAGCACGCGTGCCGGGAGCGTCCCCTCCTCCTTTTCGGGGCCGCCGCAGGCTCAGTGAGCCGTTTTTTCCCTCTGGCCGGCAGGCTGGGCGCGCAGGGACGCGGGCCCCCGCTGGGCGCGCAGCGGCACCATGGGCACGGTGCTGTCCCTGTCCCCCAGCTACCGGAAGGCCACGCTGTTTGAGGATGGCGCGGCCACGGTGGGCCACTACACGGCCGTGCAGAACAGCAAGAACGCCAAGGACAAGAACCTGAAGCGGCACTCTATCATTTCCGTGCTGCCTTGGAAGAGGATTGTGGCCGTGTCAGCCAAGAAGAAGAACTCCAAGAAGGTGCAGCCCAACAGCAGCTACCAGAACAACATCACGCACCTCAACAATGAGAACCTGAAGAAGTCGCTGTCCTGCGCCAACCTGTCCACATTCGCCCAGCCC